CATGGGCGGCGCTGATTGCTTACCATAAGGTAATACGTCTGCTCGTTTGCCGACCTCGTGGGCCGGCTCGACCGCAGCGACACCACGGCCCTATAGAAAACCGGCGTGAATAATCACAGCGTTGTGTGTAAATAAGCAACTAGAGGTCCAATTCTTCCCTCCCATAAACACATTGACAATCCTCATATCCCACAACCCACAGTAGGCCGCTGTTCGCGCGCCTACTGGTTTTTTCAGAGCATCAACTTACGCTCATGAAATGTATAAATTGTGAAGAATTCTGAAAATTACCCCACTTGCAATACTTAACTCTTGAAGTTAGCACCCATTAAAGTTTATTAATTTAAAACCTGTGTTCGAGTATTTTTCCTGAGTCCATCCACATCAACCCTGGTTCCGTACATGGTCCATATCGAGCCGGATGACCCTAACTAAAGAGGAGATCAGCGATTTTATTTGAAGAAGAGGAATCAAGTACTGAAATTTTCCACCGTGACGTGGAGATTTGCCGGTGGATTGGATTGAGTTCGAACAAATGGTTTTAGCGGTGTACAGTATTTTAAATAACTAATATCATCACCCAACACTCAGGTAGTATATAAGTAAATTATATTTAAGGTCAGTAATATTTATTTAACTACTTATTGTATTTGTTTGATCATTAGAATCATTAGATATTCTGTTACATTGTGATTAGTATTTTATTAACAGTAAATCTTAAGTTTAAATTATACTCACTGCAGTATAGTTAGTTAATTGCTACATTATTTAAACTTAATTTAATCAAAGCTGTAACTATTTCACATAATTTTATAACTGCTTAAGTAGATATAATTATTAGCAGGTATCTTGACATAATACAAATAATTTGAGTGTTAGATATTAGTGCAAGTCATTGTAAAAAATTAACAAGTTATTAGTATTTAATTGAATTAATTGTGCTTATTTATTTAGTTTATATAAAAGTTTACAACATTATAAATTGTAGGTAGTTTTACAAGAAATTATACAATATTAATTAATTTACTATATTAGCTTTATATAATTGATCTTAATTGGTAGGTTCTGTGTCGCTTTATTAAAGCATTTCGGCAGTGTATAAAACACAGTTAGGTCTGTCTTAAAATCATTATTGTTTTCTAAGTTAATTGTATTCCTGTATCAATTCCAGGTTGACAATACTCATCTCCCAGTATGTCCGAGGAAAGGGATTTAATTAAAAAGCGCGGCAGCTTTAAGGGTCGCTTGACTGCTTTCGTCACCTTCCTGGACTCACTCAAGGACAAAGTATTAAGTAGTTGTGATGTGTCCGAGTTGCAGTTGCGCATGGGTAAGATGGAGTCATTGTACGAACAATATGATGAGGTGCAGTTGCGTCTGGAATGCATTGCTGACGATATTAAGGTACATAATTCCGAGCGTACCGAGTTCGAGTCACTTTATTACAAAGCGTTGTCCAGAGCGCAAACCATTCTCAATGACAGTAACAAAGATGATAAGTCGATGGAAAGCTGTAAAAGTACACTTGCTAGCATACACAAACCGGTAAAATTACCAACGATACAATTACCAAAGTTTAGCGGTTCATATTGCAATTGGTTGGAATTTCGTGATACCTTCACTAGTCTAATTCACAATAATGACGAAATTGATGAGGTTAACAAGTTCCACTACCTAAGAGCCTCTCTTGAGGGACCTGCTGCCGTCATCATCAAGTCAATTGAGTTTTCTTCGAGCAATTATTCTGTGGCATGGAGTTTGTTACTTGATCGATTTGACAACAAACGATTATTAGCGCAAAATCATGTGTCTGCCTTGTATCACATTGATGCGGTTACAAAGGAATCGTCTGTTGCTCTCAAAGGTTTAATCGATCAATTAAATAAGGACTTGCGAGCATTAGAGTCGTTAGGTGAGCCTGTAAAGCACTGGGACACATTTTTGATATACCACGTCACTCAAAAAATTGATCATAGGACCTATCGTGAATGGGAGGAGTTTAAGGGTAGGATTGACAAAGAAAGTTCAATTACGTTTGATATGTTCATGCAATTCCTACGCACTCGAGCCGATTTGATCGAGAACTTAGAACGCCTTCGAACAAATAATAATTCTCAAACGGCAGGTAGATCAAACCCTAGGATCAAGTCGATGTTGGCTAATCAGTCTAATAACAGTTCCAGCATCGAAACAGCTCCCCAAGTATGTCCCAAATGTCACAGTAACGATCACCAATTAAATAATTGTCCACAGTTTCTCGCATTAAGCGTTGATGCTCGTATTAAACTTCTACCTACTTATAAGATTTGTTTTAATTGTTTGCGGTCGGGTCACTTCGCTAACAAATGTAAAAAAGCCGGTTGTAAACTATGTAAACGTAGGCACAACACACTAATTCACGTAGATTCTACAGATAAAATTATTGCGAATACACATAGTGGTAATTCGTCTAACAATAACTTGTCTTCATCATCCGTACCGTCTGCTACCACAGTTGCGAATAACGTTACGTTGTCAGCACACATTGCATCCTCTCAAGGTCATACGCAGCGTGATGTTTTATTATCGACCGCATTGATCAAGCTACGGGATCATACTGGCTGTGTGCATGTCGTTCGGTCGGTTCTAGACAGCGGTAGCACGTCGTCATTTATAACGGAACGGTTATGTAAAAAACTTAATTTATTCACGAGCCAGGTAAATAAATCTATACTTGGCATAAATAATGTTACTTCGCACGTAGGTAAAACATGTCGAGTTAAGATGTCATCATTGGATGATAGTTTTAATTACGACCTTCATTGTTTGGTTTTGCCATTTATCACGAGCGAGGTGCCGAGCCGTGAAATAAATATTAATAATTTCGATCTACCTTCGAATATCACTTTAGCTGATCCTAAGTTTTATAAGCCCGGTGATGTTGATTTATTAATCGGCGCTGATCTGTTTTGGAAGTTATTAGTATCACAAAAATTAGAATTAGGTAACGGAAAGCCAATATTATATAAAACCCATTTAGGATGGATAGTTTCCGGTCCAATTCTTACTAATGATTTAAAATGTAATTTTTGTAAAGATGTTTCCCATGATCATAAATATGTTAGTTCATTTGATTTGCCAGAACAAAGATTATGTGAGAAAGAACCTTCAATTCTGGGAGATTCTTTCAAGAAAGAAACACACTGTTGCCAATCATTAGTCTCGCGGGACTTGCCTGCTTCGGTTGACTTAGGTATTACACCTCACGAGCCCGACAAGTTACTTGGTCTGGGTCGGTATGTCTCTTCCGATGGTTTAGGGTTTCCTAACAATCTGAGCAGGTCCTCGGCTAGGCACACTGAACGCGATTTGTTATCAATGATAGGGAAAGAGTTGCTTTCATTAATTTTAGTCGTTATTATAATTTATTTACAATAATATTTATTAATCATATAGGAAACAATACATTTATTTTTTTGTTTCATGTTAATAAAACCCACCTTATCTCATTACAGTCCACTCATCAGTTTACAAAATTATTGTTTAATTTCGAGCATATATGATTGATGCACGCTGGCCCACATTGCTATTAGCTCCCATAAGGGAATCATACTGGCCAAGAAGGTCGCAACTTGGCGAAGACTTGTACTCATAAGTGTGTTCCATGTCGCCGCATGAAGGGACGGGTAGTTAGTCCTATACTGGGCAACTTACCACGAGAACGACTTCGTCCAGGTTATCCCTTTGAGAGCACGGGCGTTGATTATGCCGAGCCTATTATTGTGTGCTAGTCGTCGAGGATCGCGGATGCAGGCTAGTGAAGGTGTATGTAACCATTCATTTGGATTTCGTTGGCGATTTAACTAGTGAGGGTAACTTACTAGCGTTGCATCGACTGATTATTGCTTGAGGAGGTACATAAGCCCGTTGATGTTTGTTCCGACAACGGTGCCTCATTTGTCGGTGCGTGCAATGACCTTTCTTATTTGTAAAGGAAAATGGTTTGTCCTTGGGTGAAAGTGCAGCCCTGCGTACATCCCGCACTTCGGTAGCTTCTGGGAGGCGAGTGTAGTCAACAAGGTACATCGTCTAGCGAGTGTTGGGATATTGTGATTAAACTTTTAATAAACTGTACATAGCACTGACTGAAATCGAAGCCATTTCGAGCTCTCATCCACTAACGCCCCTATCTTCAGATCCTGCAGATTGTACACCGCTGACGCGCAACCTTGCTGCAACCTGACCGGCAAGGATGGATTGAAGCTGGACTCCTTAGTGGCGATTAAGGAGGATAATTTCCCTTCGTTGAGGTGGAGACTGAGCCGTGTGGTGGCGGTTCACCCAGGAACAGACAGCATCGCTTGTGTTGCTGACATCCAGACGGCCACTTGCATCGTACGAGGGGCATTCAACTGAGTCGGCCCACTACTTGTGACTTCGGAGTTTGGTTGAAACCGTTGCTTTCAACGCCCGGGGGCATGTTCGCGCGCCTACTGGTTTTTTCAGAGCATCAACTTACGCTCATGAAATGTATAAATTGTGAAGAATTCTGAAAATTACCCCACTTGCAATACTTAACTCTTGAAGTTAGCACCCATTAAAGTTTATTAATTTAAAACCTGTGTTCGAGTATTTTTCCTGAGTCCATCCACATCAACCCTGGTTCCGTACAGCCGCAGTTGCAACTTATTAGTGCTGCGGGTGTTTCCATGCGCGGCTTGATTGATTACTCCATCAAGTGATTCATGTAATCGTTTAAGGCTTACACTATCATGTAAAATATATAAAAGCTTTCAGCTACTTGAAAGGTTTTGCCATCATTTAGCGTGCAAATAGACTAGCAAGGTTTTCAGTTTTATATGGAATAGGTACATTTTGGAGAGTGTGCAGGGGAAGTGCACAACTTGATTTTCCCTAGTCCTTTTCATTATCACATCGTAGAGGTTTTTTTTTTGTGAGGGGAAAAACATCAAATGACTTCTCCAATTAATGGGAGTGTCTGGCTCTTACTGACTAAAAACCCCCCTGTTCCTTCTCCTGCTCTGTGCCGAGGTCGCGGTGCCTCATTGCGCTTACCCCGCAACACCGGCTGAACATCAGCCCTTTAGGGCCCCGTCTGGTCTAATGGCTCTTTGAGGCGCGCGCGGAACGCTACGCGCCGTACGCTCGGGCCCGGTTCTGGTCGGGAGGCGAGCTGCCCTTACTCGCCGACCTGAGGCCCGTGCTTACGGTGGCCGGAGATCGTCCCTTGATCCCCGACGCCCGTAGTGTCGCCAGTTGCGGCTGCTGGGGCGTGAGGAGGAGGATTGCTCCATCGCATCGTAGGGTAACTGAATATCATCAAAGCCCGAGTGTAAACACGGCATATAGGTAGGCGTGCTATATCATTGCTTACTATTATGTAGGATAGTAGCCAAATGTTGTATGTTTGTTACTTTTGCACGCAAAAACGGCTGGTCCGATTTGGACAATAAATTCACGCTCAGCAGCCAATGGGCAGTCGTTAGTCCATTATTAAAATGTATTTATCCTATTACTGGATAAGGGGTGTCAGTGTTTTAGTAACTAAATGAAAAGGGACACAAAACAACAACTATACTTTTGATGTACTTACTATGAAATTGTACCTAAGTGGCAAACCCGATCAGCACTTCTATGGAAGACGGTACCAAACGATAAGGTCAAGGTTTTAGTTAAGTGAGAAAGATATGAGCAATTATTGTTTAATTATAATGATAGCTAGATAACCATTGGGCTACTAACCACTATGAGCAGAAAACTACACTACTTAGTTGATTTTGTTAACGAGAAAACTGTACTTATATTACAAAAACCAATGTTTAACTTAGTTCTTGCAATGAACAATGAAATAAAATCCATTACCTTCAGTCAAGTCATCGTTATAATAAATCAAAATGGCGGGTATGTGTATATTCTCTGCTAGGGATACGTCGCTAAATCTATCCCTTTCATCGGGTATCCCGTTTTCTTCTAAGGTTTTGTTAAGACACAGTCCTCTGCCCATGTACCGCCACGTGTATGACATTAAATGACTGTTGTGCGGCAAATATCTCATCATGATCTCATAAATAGTTTCTTCACTACATACGTCAAGTGTTACTGTTGAACCTTAAAAAACCCACAAGCAATGAAAACACATTTAATATTACCTAACAACGCAATACACGTGTAAGTTTTCAGTGGTGCGGACGGATAGGTGCCATAAATTGTTTACCATCAGACGATTCACTTACCATCAGGCGATTCAATTACCGTCAGGCGATTTGCTTACTATCACGATCCATTTACTCGTATACAATCTACAGAAAATTGTTAAGAGGCTTCTTAAAACGGAGCAGATTACAGACTTTTAACTGACCTATTCGAAACTGACACTCCTTTTGGGTCTAGCTGTTTAATTATGACCAATTTCTGTGAGATAAGAGAGAGAGTCAGAGGTATTTTTTTGTGACACATTACAGTCTAAAGTGTTTAGACAAAGGCCTCTTTCCACACAGAGCTCTAAGCAAGCTAATGACTACGCTTGTTCAAGAGGCGGATCGGCGATTTCAAACTTATAAGTCCTAGTTTTCCCTTTTGTCAGTAGAGTCTAAATGCCAGGTTTCGAAACCACATGAGAAATAGGTGCTTTAACCTTTATTCCACCACTAACTGCCAGAAACACTAAATATCTTATGAAATCATACCATTACCTGTAAGCGTATTCGTTATCCTAATAGGTCTGGTTCTGGCTGTAGCTTTACCCACGACATATTTGTCTCCATCCCACCACGGTTCTTCCAAAGGCCGCCATCTGGTGGAAGGGACTACGGGCTGACGGGAACTGTGACCATGTATACGATACGTCACTTCGGAGCCCGTTATCGGATGGATGTAATGAACCCATTCCCCGTTTTTAAACCAATGGCTCAAGTCTTTTCCTGCGTACGCTAGAATGGTCATAGCTAACTGCAAATAAATTTCTGCATAAGAAAAAGGTTTATATTATTCATTATTTATAGTAGCACTTTTAGACACCACGACATACGGTGAAGGTAAACACCGTGAGGAAACCTGGACTTATAATTTCTAATTATAAGTTTGAAATCGCCAACCCGCATTGAGCAAGCGTGGTGATTAATGCTCAAACCTTCTCCGTATGAGAAGAGGCCTTTGCTCAGCAGTGGGCACTTATAGGCTGATGATGATGATGATTATAGTAGCACTTTGCTTTTCGCGGTTTCACCCGCTGCTCAGCTCCATTTGATCGTAGCGTGATGTTTTATAGCCTATGGCACTCAGGAACCTTGTAGCTATGAAAGCAGTGAAAGAATTTTGGCAATACGACCAGCGGTTCCAAAGATTACATTTTTTGTTATTACATACAAACTTACCAACTTACTAATTTTACCTTCTTACAATATTAGTATAGATAAGAACTAATTCTCAATACGTCAGTTCAGTTGTTAAAACATTACGGCTTTGAAAATTTTTTTTAAAATACGTACCGCGAAAACCCTTCTAAACTAAAAAGTTATAAAGGCCCTAAAGGTAGTAGTCAGCAAAAGCAAAAATGCACATTACCCTCTTCCCATCGCAATAAAAAAAGCCTTGTTTAAAGCAGGGACAATACTCCACGCAATTATTACAGAACCAATTCTTGACAGCACAGGAACATGATTTAGTACACATACAATTTTTGAATTGGCTTTGCAGCCACTGCGTCAAATCATAAACTCTTCCATTTAATGAGACCCAACAATCTGTTGCTTGGTTGTGGACAGCCACCTCAGCTGGCGTGTACCATTGTTGTTTAGTGTATATCATATTTTATCCAGTTAATTAATTTCCTTTGTATTGATGATTGTATTATAAACTATTATATATAAAATATTCATATGTATTTCTTTAAAAATCTATTAGACAGTGTGCTAATTGTGACATGTTTATTTAGTTTTTTGGTTTCATGTCAACGTGCATTTAACTGTCTAATGTGATTGAGTTTTTGTATTAAAACCTCTTTGCCCATCAAGTGATTCATATTAAAACTTGTATGGGTATTATGGGTAATAGTTGGAGAACCCATGAAAGAATTTTGTTCCGGGTTTGGAACTAAGTGTTAGTGGATTTGTAGTATATTTGTAAATGCAAGCTAGACGCAGTAGTAAATTCGAGTGCCTAAAAACATTAAAATTTAACAAAATCGATGCGCTTGCGAATCTTTTCGAATTTAGAAGGTTGTAACAATTTCACTAATAATTTTAGGATAAAATCGACCGAATCAAAACCGAACAAAATATATCGAAGATTTCTAGGAACGACAGTCTGTTTTTGCCTTGAAGTTAGTGCTGAATTCTGATTTTATATTAATGTCTCCCTATGTTCCGTGTTCTAGAGCCAACGCCTTCGTGAGCCTAGAAAAAAAATAGAGATTGACCTAGGTTAAACTTACTTATTCGAGGCAATCATTTGCGATCCTATTTCTGAGTTTTTTATATGGTTCATAGTAAGCCACCGACCTGCTCCACAGAGCGTATCTTTTCTTATGAGTTAAGTTTTTTATTTCAGATTTAATTGAGTGGTACAATCAGTGTTAGGTCAGTAATTCTTGAACTTTAACTCCATATTTCAACATGATTTTTATTGTAACTAAACTCGTTTCTTTGTAATAAATAATGAAGTACGATATTAGCAAGCCTCTTTATGTAGAGAAGGCTCGTGGTCACGGTTTCATGGGCACATTATAATTATTAGAATATCTAATAGTTTTAGGTAAATGGAAATCTGATGTATTTTTTTTCGTTCTATTCTACGCCTTCACTAAATATCATCAGAATCGATTTAATGCTTTTACGGCACAGTTTCAGCTCTCTTAAGATTTGTAACTTAAATAGTAATTTTTATTTTGACCGTGTCGAAAAATATCCTCCTACAAATCCTACACTAAAATAAGACCTGAGATTTGACAAAGGTCCTCTATCCGTGCATTTTGGGAATGAACAAAATAATCCTTGTACTAAATTCAATCCAATCGTTTTGGTGGTTTACGCGTAAAAAGAGATAGACTGACACAGTTACAATCACGGTTCTTCTTTATTATTATGGATTAAAGACGAATAGTTTTTTAGGTCTATTATTTATGGATTAAGGATTTTTACTATTCATAATGAAAAGTAAGTACGATAAAAGTATGTGTTAATTGCATTTATGGCGCGCGCCTGAGACAAATGTGACAGTTCAGTTTTGCACTTGGTTGTGAATGTCTCGAGAAATTGTTCCAGTCACATCTTTTCGCTACAGACCTACCTACGTCATAATACTTCCATCTTTTTATCCATTCCATCATCATTTTATGTAGATGCTTAGCAGTCGACAACTGTGCCATTTTCGACATTGATCTGTGATCATTTGCCAACAGGTAATCCGTCTGCTCGTTTGCACTAATTATTCCATAAAAAATGTCACGTCATCCTAAATTATGGTATGTTCTTATTCAATCATTAAAATGTATTATGAAACAGCAATTTAAATTATTAATGCAGTGCCATAGCCATAAGTTCGTTGCGATCATAAGTCTAAGTGCCATGCTTAGCCGAGCATGCTTCCTGCTGACCTGTGTGGCACACGTCGGTCCAGGAAAAAAATAAAACAGAGCAAGAAAAGCTTTTTAAATAGCTTAGTAGGTATATGAACCCTGAGTTATGCAATGGTATTGTTTATCCCTTTTTTTAAATAACAGATTAATCGTGCTCGTTTCGGCGTGGTTGACTGGCTACTGACTACAATGTCGCGATTTTAAGGGGCAGATTAATTGTGATAGACAAAAAATCTTGTGTCATCGCTGGGCTGCTTGTAAATGCACCCAGGAAACATGAAATCCCAGTACAGAGAAAAACGAAAATTATATCATGGCAATGTTCAGCTGGGGTGCTGGGTAAGTGTGGCACCGCGGCCTCGGCCTAAAGCAGGAGAAGGAACGGGAGGGTTTTTAGTCAGTAAGAGATACTCTCTCTTGCCTTACCCTGGGCAGGAGAAGCCATTTTGATAAATATCCCCTGACAAAAAAAATGCAACGTGGCCATGTTAAAGCCCTTAAGTTCTGCCCAATGTAACTTTTCTGTTGTTTTGTCCATGGCCCATGGCCGACGTTGAATGCTTAACATGAGGTAATTAATAAGACGGATCGTTTGCTCTCTCTCATCTCAATCCAATAAAAAAACAAAAATAACAATGTGAAGCATGCTAAATGTAAAGTACCTATGTGTGGCGAAAGAGATTATAGAAAAAGTGTAACACAACGGGCTTTCGTGTCTCCTACAAATGAAACTATGCAATTACGCTGCAATGCGCAGTATTGCCATACAATTTGCATCGCCCCCGCGATATCGTTATTTCTAGTTCACAAAACACCCGCTTATTTGCGTACTTATACGCCGAGACCACCACGCATGCGCGGATCCGATAATTCTATCCACTTGTTGCCCTAAATTATAGCGACCGCAACCCCATGCAAAGAGCTTCAATAAAAATAAACTGGCGCGCTTTTTGTCCATAGAGTTGTGATGGCACGTCATAGACGCGCGTCTGTGTGACGTATTCATTTTTTAAATTTATTCATTTTATAAAATTATAGTTTCATTGCGTTTGTAATTTATGTGTTGATAATAACAACTATTGTTGGTGGTTACTTATTATCCGTGGACTGTGTATACTAAGATATGTGTCATACTAAGTATACTTGTGAAGTTCTAAGTGTTCTTGTGTATAATTGTAGATTATGTTTTGAATACATAGGTCAGTATTAGATTTTTTGAAGCCTTAGAGTATTTATAAATACATTTTTATCACGATGTGCACAACATTCTTTAGTATAGTCTGCTATATCTTAAAAAGTAATTCAATATTTTTACTCAATTCCAAAAAAATGTAGGTATGTATGTTGACAGTGTGTTATAAGCTTAAATTCCTTATTGATTGTGCCTAAACTTAGAGGTCTTATTTTAAATACTTTTTACTAAAAAACTTTCTTGTTATTCTTACTTGACTTTATCTTTAGTCCTCCAAATAACAAGCAGAAATAATTCGACGCTTTTTATTACATTCGAGTTACCTATAGAATGTAGGTACGTCCATTATAAATATGTATTTCTACTGCTCAGAAATTGAAATCCTGTAATCGAATATTTACGCACAATAAACTAAAATTTATTGTTTTTGTAATCATTATTTTATTTTATTATTTTCATTATCTAATTGACGGACATTTTTTTTGTAATTGCATACTCTGCCATCGTACCCCGGCCTTGAAGTCAGTAGTATAGTTAATAAAAAAATTAGGAAAGTTTGTTAATCTACTTTTTTATTTTTTTCAGAGATCGAAACAAAATGGCAACGTTGCCTATCTTCGTGTCACTTAGCAGGTACCAAATTTTTTATTTAAAGAAAAATCATAAGGGGTTTCTCAATTCGGCTCATAGATGTATTTATAAGTTATAGTTTATAATATTGAACAAGCTATAACTATATTACAGGAAGTAACTTTTGTAAATACAGACGATGTGACGGTAGTTAAAAACATTATTAAAGGATTTAACGACATTTTTGTTGATCCTTTACTCTGCTGGCCGTATGCTTAAGCGCAAATGTATACAAAGTCCCGGGTTCAATCTTCAGTAATGTAAGCAACCTACACTTTAAATGTAAACAGCTATTTTTTGTCACTTTAAATGTATACACCCGGCAGAAGAGTTACTAGTTCGATATCGGCCTTTTGGGTTTAGGATTCCGGAGACTTGGAGATTGGGGCGGAATAGGGAGGGGGAAAGATTGGAATTCACATGACGAAACTGAACTGAATTGAGTACTTTTTTATGTAATAGGTCGGCAAACGAGCATACGCATTACCTGATGGTAAGCAATCAGCGCCGCCCATGGACACTCTCAACGGAGGAGTTACGAGTGCGTTGCCGACCTTTTAGGGATTAGGGATTTGGAAATTTAGGGATTGAGGACGGATTGGGGGAGGGGAAGGATTAGGCCTCCGGTAACCTCACTCACACGGCGAAACAAAACGCAGTGGTTATTTCACGCCGGTTTTCTGTGAGGCCGTGGTACCACTCCGGACGAGCCGACCCATTCGTGCCGAAGCATGGTTCTCCCACAGTTTAAAACAAATCAAAGTAAACCAAAGTAAGACGACACAGGAAAAAATCCTAGTGTGGGGCAATGTTTTTTTTAAAGATAAAGATTTAAAGGTATACCTCCTTATCAAAATACACTGCACATGCAGCAAATTTGCTGCATACGCATGATTGCATCCTGTAACAAGCCTGGAGTTTTGTCGCGGAATTAAAACTAGATATTCTTTTATCATTTAATGTCATAGATTGCCGCAAAGTAACGCCTAATTCTATAGCTCCTTATTTCTTAGAAAATAGGACAGACATAATATATTAATTTTGTTGTACCATAATTAAATGTGTTACTTTTTTAATTTTATTTTACTTTGGTAAGTCCAAATATAATTTGATGTTATGTTTTATATCAGCATATTTCGCACGGCGAATAGGTAACACTAAAAATACTTATTTACGAATTCGTATTGGCGGTAGACTGCATCCGGCTGCCAAAGCTCACTTCCCGTCGCCCATATTAGGAAGTTGAACATCAAGACGTGCGCACACGCAATGCGCAGGGTCTGTCTCACATTTTTAATAGGACTACTTGAGTATTATATTTGTTAGTCAGATGTTTGGATATTTTTGCTCGTTCTTCTTCATTGGAATCTAAATTTTGACGAACAGACTGACGAACTATTATGAAATTTTGACGTTCCAAAACTACTTTTTTTGTGTCAGGGAAAAATCATCAAATGACCTTTCCCGCCAACGGAAAGGCGAGAGACAGTGTCAGATTCCAACATCATCAGCCTAAAAGTGCCCATTGCTAAACAAAGGCCTCTTCTCACACGGAGAAGGTTTGAGCATTAATCACCACGCTTGCTCAATGCGGGTTGGCAATTTCAAACTTATAATTAGAAATTATAAGATGTTGTAGGACGAAAGGCATTGTTCTTTATTCTATGTGTCATGTCACACCTATTTAATCGTGAAATGGAAATAGTGTTGGTAACACGTGATGAGGATCATTATTCTTCCTTGTTCCTAACTTGGCTATCGAAGCTACATGATTTTTCTAATGACGATGTGTGCATGATGTGTTTAAGTTCCCTGCCTGCTAGCTCACATACGCATTCTTAGGGGTTAATTTTAGCGTATGTTGTAGTCAAATTGCCTTAATAGTCATTCAACTAAAGGCCTGAATAACTAGCTATTTGATTGACTTAATTTTCTATTCAGGTCATACAAAAGGGTGAAGGATTGATATTAAAATCTTTGACTTCTCGAGGTCTACCCTCGAATTAGCGACCGCCATTCAGACCTTCTGGAACTTAACCTCCTAAGTACTTTACCTCTGAGGAACTAGGACGTACTTGTTCATCAATTATAATATAAAACCAATTACGCGAAAAAGTAGGTACTTACGTAATAAAAATCGGTGGAATATCTAAAACTATAGTTTTATATCCATTTTTATATTCTTGTCAAGGTCATAAGCGGTTAAAACACAGAGGCTTAATTAACAATGATCTAGAACAGTAAATATTTAGCATAAGCTAGACCTGCGCCGGCGCACGTCCGGTAAGGGTTGTCATTACAAGTTCCGGCTGTAACTGGTTTGACAACCCTGTGCATGTGTACCTATTTAACTGTTAACTCTCCGGTTTGAGTTTGTCCTGAGTGAAGAGGGCAGTTGAGCAGTAAGCAGTTTTTATAATACCGTGAAGTTTTTAAATCTGGAGGGGTAGGCAGGGGTGTTTTCCAGCCGGGGTTACGGGGTAAGCGCAATGAGGCACCGCGACCTCGGCCTAGAGCAGGAGTAGGAACAGGGGGGTTTTTAGTCAGTAAGAGTCTGACACTCCCTCCCGCCTGACCCTGGGCGGGAGAAGACATTTGATGATTTTCCCCTCACAAAAAAAACAGGCAGGGGTGTTTATTATAGGGCATGATGTCGTGTATACCTACCTAGCTACATTGTTTACCTGTATTATAAGTACCTCTACGTTAACAGAGCGTGACTGCCATATAGGATATAACCACCATGCCGTAGTGGTGATATCGTCATTGGTGACTGCCAATAAGGTACCGTGCCAGCCTGGTGCAGGAGAAAGATCGGGGTGGTTTTAGTCTGTAAGAGTCTGACAATTTCGCTCGTCTTAGCCTGGGAGAGCTCAGGCATTTAATGATTTTCTCCTCACAGTAATAAAACAGGGTGTGAGTCTATTGACATACACTTGCGCATTTCTAGAAGATGTTATAAGAAGTCCTGTTGCTGAGAATCTTTAAAAAAAAAATGTAAAATACAAAAAAGGAGATAAGTAAATTTTAAGGATTGAAATCAAAATCAGTGATATAATTATAAAAGGATTTATTTAATTTGATTATCAGTAAGCTATAAAAAATATTTTACATTTTACGGGGTCAACGCACTCGCTGAGTGGTTGTCGGCTCCAAGTGCTACCCACGTTCACATAAAATAATACATAACATACATATTAATTGTAACTAATCCGAAATCTCGGAAATTTTTAACTTGGATGTGATAAGTTACGTTAATGGATGTGCTAACATCTTGATAGCCACCCATCATCACTATATTAGCTTATAAGTGCTTACTGCTGATCAAATACCTCTTCTCTCACGGAGAAGGTTTGAGCATTTTTCACTATTGTATACGCAAGGAAGATTGGCACTTTCAAATGTTTAATAAGAAATTATAAGTCCAGGTTTCTTCAAGATCATTCCTTCACCGCATGTCAGTGGTATCTAAACATTCGAAAGTATTTTACATATGACTCGGAAAACGTCTCATTGGTACTTGCTAGGTTTCGAACCAACACACTTATACATGAGAATCGGATGCCTTAACGTCTGAGTCAACACGACATTCCGGGTCACCACGATTTAAAATGTTAATATAA